TAAACAATTTCCATAACAGTATTAGGGGTTTGCATTAAACTTGCTCCGTCAAGACATTAGGGCATTTCCGGTCAACAATACTCATTCACACTTTCACAAGAGGCGACAGTCGGCAATGTTGTCGACTTCCTGTTATCGTGTCTGCCCAGCTTGAGTAATTCACGGCGAGTCTGCCGACCCAAATAAATATTATATAATTATAATTATAAGTATAATTATTGTACTCAAATTTATTGCCACCTCTTTGCCCAAGATACTGTCACGGGAGCACCGTGAAACGGAAGTACATGCAATCTCAGACAACTAATTGAACTAATAATCAACTCCCCGATGCAACTGTGCTAAAAATAAAAAATGAATTGCGAACAACATTTAGACCAAACATTTACTAATTCCTCTCGATCATACAGCAATAGTAATGGACATACCTTTGACGTTTGTATCGTGAACATTTTTCATGTGCTCTTGAAGCCACTTAAACTTTTGTACTGCTTGTCGCAAGTCGGACAGACGTAGACGAAATTTCTCCGTTTAGCAGGTTCGGGTACATGTACTTTTATATCGTCTGTAAGATCGGTAGCATTACAGTCTTCCCGTCCCATCACAAAATCCCAAACGATATCTTCGTCCTCGAAGCCAACAAAATCATTCCCGTACTTCCACGACATGCTGCCAATGTTTTGATTCTGGTTCTGAAAACTTCTGCGCAACCGCACAATTTTCTTTTGCACAGCACGTCGGGTAAATCATTAATGGTAATGATATGCGGGTCAACTGGAAGATGACCCCTGACAAGTTGCGTCAACTGCGGATTACGTATAGGTGTTAATGGTTTATTTACCCGCTACGCGCAATAGGACAATAGGACAGTGGTCGTTTCGAGACCGGTGATAGAGGGACTGTGTTTTAATGATTGGACAAGTGTTGGATTTAGGCACTGTCTTAGACCAAATAAAACAGTATTTTAGGCGGTGAATAACTGCATCTGAACTCGCGCCAATTTTTCCAAAAGTCTGTCTACGTGCTCTCGCTGAGAAACTTGATATACTTCATATAATCATACTAGCCAGTTTTGATTATTTTACCAGTCGGGATTAACGAATCATCTCCTTTAGAAGACACCGTCAAAGACAACTATAATAGAATGTAAGAAGATGTAAGACGGAAATTGACGATAACATGTTCAATATGTCTGTATAAAGTGATTTGCTAGTACTGGTTTCGAAATTGACAACTTGAAACCTACAGTGAAATATAAACCCACTTACGAGTAATTGAGTTTGCCGTAAAATTAATATTCGTGTCTTAAAAATAATAATTAATTACTAATCCACCCATTTGTAATATGAACGTTTATTAAAAAGTAGATAATGAGCCTGTACAATTGAAATATTATTCCCGGTGGAACAATTTAGTTAACAAAACATATGATCGTAAATTGTAATATGTTTACAATATTAAATTCCAATGTCTTAATTGCTTCAAACAGTCTATTAGAAGACTACTTACTAGTCGCCATTTTTTTTATTAATGAGACGAGTTTGTTTGGGAATTATCAATGAAGAAGTGTAGATTTTGCTGGCTGCATGCTTTGGAACGTGTGATGAATAGAACATCTTGTCAAATGGCAAATGTTGTTGTATTTCTTTTGAGCGGATCTTTAAAATGCAAATGTTTACCCCTATTCACTCAATTACATGTTTTTCACGAATAATAATAATTCTTGGCTAAACCACTTAATTAAAGATAATTTATTGTATTTATTATTAGTTCAGTGGCCATACACTAGCAGTTTAACTGAACTGCCCAACATTGGAATGTTAAAATTTGAGTGGTTTGTAGTGAGAGCATTGTATATTGTTCATTCCGTTAAATTTATTATGTGCCATTCACAATAATTAATTCTTCAAACCTACCGTCCACTTCCACAAATTGATCAATGCCAATCGATTAGCGTAATTGGTGCCTCATCCTGCAATAAAATTGTTCTGCAGTTCCAGTAGTAATAACCTTTTCATCATGTGGTTAACTCATGTGTTGTTCTCAACTATCTTATTGGTCGCTGTCCATCAACGTTCTACATTTACAAACGCGACAGTCATGGCCAGTGTCGAGCCCACGAAAGTTATTTACTCCCCGTCTTTATCACCCTGTTTGGACGCGTGCGTCCGTATGGGTGACACGTGTATATCCGTGTTATTCAGTAATATATTTGATATGTGTGAAATGTATGACCGTACTACTGAAGACATATTCCTCGACAGCACTCCGAACTTGGGCAGAGGATGGATTGCTGCGAATAAACCGCAAGTATGGAATGTACATGTAAGTATATGACTTTTTATACTGTGCAAGATTGGTGCCTTCTCTCAGTGGGTTTTATACACGCGTATATTTGCTGAATCTTCCCGAAAACGTATTTCAGTTTAAAGCTCTGTGACTATATTAAACATTTCATATCGTTATTCAAAGTATATATTTCATGAAAGTGTTAAATGTTTCCTTAATCAAATACAACCAAGCGATTCAGTACCATTTATCTGTATGACATGAAAGTCCCCACAACTAACCAGTATTATTTTCAGTGTATGTTCTGTCTCTCCTTCTGACCTAACATACATTGAACATATATGAGACAAAAGTATATAAGTTCAAGTTACCTCACAGAAATGTGTATATTTTATCAAAGAATTTCAATGAGTGTGTGTCATTCGAAAGTGTTTGTCAAGTTCGTGAGACTCGGTGTATGCAATTCAATTTAATGGATCCGGAGTCGTTGACTGAATACTATACGATCGAGCGTTGCAAAAGTATTATTTCCAAATAGATCACTGAAAGTCTCTGTGAATGTGCATGTGATAGCCTTATTCTTGTGAGAGTTCATTTAAATGCAGCTCTTCAAAAGTGTGTGAATTTGAAAGAATACCGTCTTGTGGATCCTGTACATATGAGCCGTTTCAAAAAATTCTACTTAAGAGATTGCAGTGATGTGTCTTTTTATAGAACCCATAAATATGAACCATATCACAATGTGTAGACAAAAGTGTGTAATTTTGAATGCACGTAGTGATACGTAATTTTGTTGGAGCCACTTCACAGTGTCTACATGAATGCAAAGAAATGCAACGATTGTCATGTTTCATGTGATGTTACTCGTAAAATGAGCCATTTTAGAATGCCAAGTGAATGGGTGTCATTTAGAAAGGTTCCACTGATGTGTCATCTTGATGGACCTCGTATATTTGATGTATGTTTAAATCTGTGTTGTGGAGAGATTTAGTGGCCTCTTGTGATAGCGTTTTGGTACAATTTTCTTTCAAATCAATATCAGTAATATGGCTTAATTTACAATCCAGGGAAATTCTGTTAAGGCAGTGTGAAAGAAGTCATAGCTAACATTACAGTCCAAACGTAGGATCAATTATATCACATCGTGGTTGATGCCACTGGAGTGCATTGAGTATTTTATAAAGTCATCCTACAGAACTCTGCTTGGCCTTACTTGTATATTGCCACACTATC